TTATAAGGCACGGCAGCAGGACGGCGGGGAGAGGGCGGGAGAGGGAGGCGCGACCGCCGCTCCTCCGCGCAGCGCAGCGCTGCCACCGCCTCCCGCACAAGATGGCGGCCGCTGGCAGGACGGGGCGCCGGCGGGACCAGGCTTCCTCCGTGCTCTGCCTCCCCGGCGGCGCGGCCGCGCTCCCGCCGCCGCGCAGCACCCGCTTCCGGCTCCGCCCCTCACGCCACGTCCGCTGCCGAGCATGCCGGGAGGTGTAGTCCGGCGGGACCTCCGGACCTCTGCCGCTCGGCTCTAGTCCTTTTTGGCACTTTTGCAGCTGAAAACACGAGGGGCCGAGGCCTCACAGGCTTCGCTTGAGGATCCTTTTTGAATCCCAGGCGCCTGCTGGCGGGATCGCAGGTCTCAGCGCCCCCCGAAACCTGATGACAGGGCAGTATCAGGCCCTGGGAGGTATTTTTTCCCTCCCCATCTAATTTCACTGTCTGGCAGAACAATCACCTCCTCTGGACTCTCTAGTAACATAAAGGAGGGGTTTAGCCCACTGTTAATAAGAGTTTAGGAATCCTTAAATATGAGGATTATGAGAACAATAAGGTATAAATTTTACTTAGTACTGGCTTAAGTGAATGTACACGCCCACTTTTCCTATACAAAAGGTATGTTCCTAGCACCCTACATTACTTTCCTGTGATTTTGCCCTCCAGCCCCCACACAGTGCCATATCGCTGTGTCCTGGCCTGAGCGACACAGCATTAATTTCTTTTTCAGTAATTTCACTTTTCAGTCAGGTCTCTTCTAATGCTGGGGAAAAGCCCGTTTCTAGAAGATTCTAGCGTCTGAATTTGTGAAAATATTTACTTTATAGCCAGCTAGGGGATGCAGGTTTCAAGGCCCCAGTGTCTTTGAGCCTTGCGAGGCACCGGGATGAGGAGGAGCGGGACGCGGGCACTTGACCCAGGCTGGGCCAACAGCATTATTTCATACCATGAATGGCACATTCACTATAAATTAGAAACTTTGCTGAGGAGTTCCTTCTGTTCCTCGATGGCTGTGATCCCCAGAACTCCTTGCCCCGGTGCTAGACACCTGAGCCCTTCCCCCCAAAACCCCAGTGCTCGCCGTGTCTGACATTTGCTGGGAGTGCACAGCTTCCTGCTGACAGAACGAGCAGAGTATAATCCTTATGGATTTTATATTGGATTGGGATCAATATTGCTTCTTTAGTATTATTAAAGTGAATTATTTAGTCTTATTCTATTAAATCTGTTTCTATTTCAACCTTTGTGTTTTCTTGTTGTTTCCAATTCCCCTTCCTGGGTGGTGGGGAAGAGTCATTGGGTGATAAAATAATTATCTAAATAACAATAAATTGTTGTGAGTTCTTCAAACCATAACTCGCCAGTGTCCAGTGTGCCTTCTGGCTGAGAACCAGCACACACTCGCCACACTGCAGCCCCTGCACGCCTGTGTGGTACCGCAGCTCCAGCACAGCTTGGGCAAGGATGGGCTTTGTGCCGTGAAGGTCTGGAAGACGACTGAGACAGGTCAGAAAAGTCTCTCAGTCAAAACAGAAGCTGTGAAGTCAATGATTTTGCCACTTTGTACTAAAAGCCCCCCACACCAATAGTTGGAAGTGTGAGGTTTTTTGAGCAGCTGAGAGATTCATCCAGCAACCAGGACTGTGTAGTAGCAGGAACCCAAGGAACGTGCACACCCCTCATTCAGAAAGGGATACAGCAGGGCAGATTGCACAGGAAAATCACAGAAGACACCAGGGAGTATTTTTTTCCTAATGACAGAAAAAGCAATTATAACAGTGGGTTGCCATGTTTACTCCTAGCGAAATCAGGGAGAAATGGTCTGAAGGTGGAAAAAAATAAAAGAGTAACACACAGAATGATCATCAAAAGGATGAAGTTCATAGGTTTTGAAAAGTAGCAGAACAGAGCAGTGACAGCAGACAAGGATGCAAACTTCAGGAATTTCTTTCAAATCTCTTAGGAAATTAATGTGAGGAAAACAGTTTTAAGGATTCAGCAGTTCCTTAATGAAATTATTTCTTTAAGGGAACAAGTGTAAACAGCACAGAGGAAGGATGGGAAGTAAATAAAGAACATCAGGAAAAGAACAAGTTCTTCAATGGCCTCAAATGCAAGGAAGCAACACATAGAAAATAGGTCATTTTTTTTAAAGATGTGCATCAAAAGCAGATCATGAAGACAAGGGACACATCATTACTGAAAATTCCTAAACAACTATGTAAAGACCAAAGGATTTAATGTTTCTTTTGTTCAATCTGGCATGATGAAGATAGCCAGCATAACAAACTTGTAATGGAGTATAACCTCAAACTGGAATAAGGAAAGATTGGTTTATAAAATACTTGCCATCAGTTCTTTTTTCCCTTATCTGGTAAATATTTTCAACTTGGATAAAAAAATATCCCTGAGGGTTCACAGAACTGACTGAAGCAACCTCCAATTAATTAGTGTTCATCTATATAGGAACCTGTAGGAAACGAACAAGTTTCAGGAGGCTGATTATATAGGAGTAAGGTGAGGACAGAATACAAGCTATATAATTAAGCCGTCTAATCAATAATTACCTAAGAAATCATCTAAAATAAGCACTCAAAATCAACTGAGTAGCTAGATATAAATTCACAATTAAGAACAAGGGTTTCACAGAATCATATTTCCTTTAACAAAAAGGAAACACGCCACGTGAAGTGGGTGAAGGCGGCTGAAGTTCCAGACACCTTCTGGCATTAATAAGGCCTCTGACACTTCCCTATGCAAATTAGGGAAACTTTACTAGATGAAACTTTAATGTGGTGGATGCAAGTTTTGTTGGCAGTGGCCATCAATTGTTCAAATGGCAATGCTGTGCTTAGTAGGGTTTCGCAGAGGGCTTCCCAGGGCCAATACTGCTCATCAGTTTCACTGGTGACCCAGATAATAAAAGCACTAGAAAATAATTGCAATTCAGATTTAAACAGAAGATTCAATGCAAAATCTTGGGCAGTGGGAGAATAAAGTGCAATAATGACCCATGGAGGAAAGCTACCATACTGGGAACAAGCAGGTAGGACACCTCTGTCATACTGGAGAACAAGATGAATGCAAGTTGACATCTCCTGGTACTGAAAAGTCAAGTCTTATGGATTAAAGTCCTCTTCATACCTCCCGTTATAAGACTTATCAACGAGTCCTTCCTGTCTAATTGGCACAGAGAGGCCTTGCTTTAGATGCTGTGTCTAGCTTGAGGCACTTTAAGACAGATTCAGACCAAAAGAAGAAAGCAAAGAGAATTTTGAGAGGTACAGAAAATAAAATCTACAAAGCAATGCTGACTGAACAGTCTAGGGTTGTCTTAGATACAGAAAACAAGACTGAGAATGGAGATACCAGAATTGTTTTCTTTGCTTATAGTGAAAAGGCCAAGTAGTATTTGACTTCAGCTGCAGCAAGATTTAGTTGAACATTATAAATAGCTTTCTCGTGATAAGTATAGTTTAACACCGGAAGAGATCACTTGGAGCCTCCATCACCAGAGGCCCTCATAAACCAACAGAAACATTTGTCAAAAATAATTCTATATAGTTCAAGCCTATTGAGGAGCAAAAAGAAGCAACGAATGACCTCTCAAAAATTAGTCTAGTCTCATTTCTTAACCTATGCATAGAAGGTTACATGGAATTCAGTTTGTATTTTATGAACGTTCAGCATTTTTCCAAGTATGTCCCTAATGGAAAGTGTTAGATCAAGCTGTAAATGGAGACTGACTCAGTTAAATCAAAGTTGTGCATGGATAATCTAAGGTAACTTCCATTCTGAATCCATAGAGGGAGAAAGTGTAGTTTGTCTATTTAAATCAATACAACTCTTTTTTCCTTGTTCATGTAGAGATGACTTGTAGTGACCATATATTCAGAATCCCCACATCTTTGCAAGAAGGATAGCTTGAAGAAGTCATTTAAAGTTATCAAGATACAGACATACAAACATTGCATACTGTCAGTCCAAAATAAAAGGGTCATCTACTACACGTGAATTGTGACTTTTCATTAAATGTGTGTCCTTTTCCCATCCTTTTTTTCATCAAGTATGCAAGCAGATGTGCACCACGACACAAATAAGAACTCTGAGGATACATGCTGTTTGCTTATGACTCAATAGTAGCTACAAAGAAACTAGGACACATTCTCATTATGCTCATCTAGAATCTAGTTCTGTACACAGCACAACTGCAATTGTATTAGACTCTTCTGCTACCACAAAAAAGCTTCTTTCATTTTTACAGGGCACACAAATGAACCTCTTCCTGTACAGGTTTTCCTAAGTCTCTATATAATAAATGCTAACTAACCTTTGAAAACCTGGTGTAAGAGAAGGGAAAATACTGCTAAAGTAGGGAATGGACTCAGTAATATCTGAGCTTTGCTCTTCTGGAGCAACAGTCATTTGAATGTACAAGAGAGTTAGATAAGTATCATCTGGAAAGTCTGGTCTCCCTTACTTTCCCTGGCAGACTTCCTGGAGATTTCACGATACACTGACTTCTCCTCTCATCTAAGGGCAGTGCTGAATACACAAAATGCACATTCATTCCTTCTCCAGAGTCTTCATCAGATAAGCACGTTATACTCCCAAATATGAAGGTCACTCTTCATATTACTGACACTCTGAAAACCTACAGCGATGTAAAGAAAAACATAAACCCAGGTAAGACACTCCAAGATCTTCACCAAACATTATAAAGTTCATTTTCATTATTAAATATATACTTCAAATATAATCAAATGCTTCTAACTTTATTTTTTTCAGTTACACAGTTTAACACTTAGCATAAACTGTTTATCTGACTGTGGTTTGGTTTAGGAATACACATACATATTGGAAAATATTTATATGCCCAATG